AGGCTAAGATATTAGACCTCATTTTTGCCCAGCTTTCTTCGACTCCATCACTTTCTGTGATACATGTGTTTCTGCTTTTTTTTGGTTATTCTTTTTTGGAATAGGTATCTTGTGGAGTCATCCTAAAAGCTTTCGACTTTTATCTTTGTAGTGTATTCTGGTATTTTGTTCAATCAATCACATATATGTGTTTTCATTCGGATTTTGTACAATACCAATTTCTGATCGCTTCCTATTTCTGCTGATATTAGTGCTCTTACATTCAAGATTTATGAGGTCAATAATTCTCTATTCGACCGAATATAGCCCACCATAGATCTTTGTCCTCTACTGTTTTCAAAAGTGTATTTGTATTGTTCTTTTTGAAGGAAAAATGTATTATTAATATGTATCTCGTTTATGCTGCTGAGGTCCGTCAGAAGGTTTCCGTTTTAATTTCTGATATTTTCGTTATATCGCTGTTTTATTCCTGGAACTATATCATTGCCAACACAACAAATGATGAATATATAATGATATATAATGTCGGTTAATAATTTATGTTTAACTACATTAGCCAAATATTCATGAAATTTCTCCATGACTAAATTGATCGATATTTAAATATATTTCAAGTTCCAAAATGTAGCTGCTGTAAAATTTGAAAATCTACTACTAATACAATTCTTGGCAACATCGCAGGAGTTAAGAAGTGTACGCAAAATGGTAAATACGGATCCCAAAAATGGTTTATTCTGCTGTGGAGTCCACTTACTCCTACATGTTGGTCGGAGTCTACATAAAGCGCTACTCAGATAATAATATACACGGTGTATATTCTACTGGAGTTAGTATAATACCGTTTTAGTACGGAGCCTACATTAACCGCTAGAAGTATATATAATATATATATATATATATACATATATATATATATATATATATATATATATATACATATATATATACATATACATATATATATATATATATATATATATATATATATATATATATATATATACAGAAGAAAGTATTCTTTTTCCTACGAATTTCCTATACATATTTCCTCTATACTATATTTGAAAAATAAGCTGGAGTAAAATATCAGAATGCTAATCTTCGAACCTCGAAATACATAGGCGTGCACATCTTCTAACTAAAACGTAATCTTAAAAGAAAAGTTTGCGTTAAATTTATTTGGATATTTAGAACAAAGAAATTAATCCAATCCAATACTGGTTTAAAATAAAAAGATACACATAAAAAGAATAAGAATTCTATTATTTGTGAAACATACAGTTAATATAAAATAATAAAATACAATAAATTATACTGAAACGTAAAATACATACACAAAAACTGTAAGTTTTTATACATTCCTATTAATAATTAATAATATTCTTAATACTAATAATATTAAAAATACGAATGAAAATTATATTAGCAATAAAAAAATAAATAAATAAAAAATAAACAATGAAGTTGACGGTAATTAGTTCAAATGTAAAATAAACTTCTGAGCTACAGCTTAAAGTTAAGCTTCCTCATATTCTGTTTCAGGAATTATTATAGGTTCTATACTATATATATATATATATATATATATATATATATATATATATATATATAATATATATATATACAGTATATATATTATATACAATATATATATATATATATATATATATAATATATATATATATATATATATATATATACAGGGTGGTGAATCGGCAAACGGGCCATAGGAAACTCAATGGTAAATTCTAAATTGTTGAATTCCTGCTTCCCTAATTATTTTACACCAAAAGTCATGGGAAACTATTTGTAGAGGACTCAAATATGTATCGAAAACAACTGTTAAAATTATTCTACGACTTAAACGTATTCCAAAATTTTGCTAAAATATAATACATTTTTCTGTGAAAAAATGTGTATTACGTGTTGCGTTTTGTCGTATTATTGTTTCTGATATTTGACAATATTTAAATCAATTATATTATATTTATCTATGATTTAAATGACCAAAATTTTGTGATTTATTGTTTAAAAAAAGTTAAGTTGATTAAAAAATGTACTCAGTTGAGGAGAAAAAAGCAATAATAAAAATGTTTTATTCATGTTTTATTATAACATTTGTTATAGTTTTATGTTTAGAAATAATCATATATTATTATTAGGAATAAAGATCACAGTAACAGTATATTGGAATTAATTGAATTGTTGTATAACTTAACTTAACATGGAATTAAATTTTAGTGAATTAGAATATCTTACGGTAAATAAAGATCCGGTAGTGGCAGGAAAAGGTTCGTGCTATTGCCTGAATACAACATTATGCGATTTTTCGTCAACTGAGTACATTTCATTATATTGATCGATTTGTAAACAATATAATTTATTGTTCACAAAGTAATAATGTTCAGTAGTAGTAGTATTTAGTAAAATTCATTGTTTATAATTTAATTATAAAATAAAAAAATTGACAATTCAAATTGTCAAACATCTGACATTAATATGATAAAACACAAACGTCCTAATATATATTCTTGCATTACGTGTGGCCTAACTTTTAGGGGTGGTCTGAAAAATGTATCACATTTTTTCAAAATTTTGAAGTACATTTGATTCGTAGAACGGTTTTAACATTTGTTTTTAATTCAGAATTTAGTCCTCTACAAATAGTTTTTTATGACTTTTGATCTAAAATAATTAGGGAAGCAGCAATTTATATATATATATATATATATATATATATATATATATATATATATATATATATATATATATATATCCGGTTTTTTAGGCGTTACGCCCGTCCGGTAGGGATCTATGGAGGAGTATCACCGAGCCGCAAGCCCTTATCTCTTGCCGTACTGCTCCACCATAGGCCGATCAAATCCCAGCATATCCTAGTCTAAGCCGCAGATTCATCTAGAATTTTAAACTGCTGCGTTAGACTTTTTGTTTTCTATACACCGAGCTGGGGCTCGACCCACATCCACTAAACCATTCGACAGTGAAGCGAATGAGAGGCAGCCGCACAGCCCGCTGAGCTATCTGACCGACAGGTTCTATACTGCTATCTATTATATAATCAAGCTCCCACATATTTTTCTCAATATCCATAACGCGATTAATACTTTTTGCCAATGTTTAGTCGTTACTTCGGATATTGATTTATGAAAAATATTAGTAACATCTGACAATTTAAAAGTTTATTATTTCGAGCAACGTTACTTTAACTTCGGCCCATACTAATTCAATCGGATTTAGCTCGCAATGATACGGTGGTAGGCGAAGTATTTCAATTCCTCGTTTTTTGGCTATCTCCTCAATGACATATTTTTTATAATTTTGTTTATTAATTTTAGCCTCTAATAATTCTGCTTTTGTCATTGTATCGGCAAAGATTAAATTCTTAGAAGTTAACCACATTGCACTTTCATCTTTCCTCCATTGAGTAGTTGGTAAACGTTCAACTAATTTAGAGTGGTAACTTGCATTGTCCATCACAATAACTGAATTTGTAGGTATGAATTCAATCATCTGTTCGAAATATTCTTCAAACACGTCTCCGTTCATCTCTTTGTGATAATCACAGGTCTTTTTTGGTTCAAACAAAAGTAAACCCTCCTTAAGAAATCCATTCATACTACCTATATAGGTAACAATTAATCGTCGACCTTTACCTGTTGGTTCCTTGAAACCAGTTGAATATCCTTCCAGAAATGCTTGTCGACATGTTTTTATAGTTTTGTATTTCCAAACTCTCCCTACAGTATGCCCTTCAGTAACCCACGTTTCGTCTAAATAATAAATGTTCTTATTATCTGTCCTCATTTTTTTTATTTTTCTGAGGTAGTCTCGTCTCCAACACACAATTTCTTCGGAATAGATAAACATTGACTGTCTACCAAGTTTTTCATACTTAAAGTTTGACTCATGCAAAACTTTCCAAAGTTTGTCTCTACTTATTGTGGGTAAATCGGGATCATCGGTAATGGCTTGTAAAACTTTATCTAAAGTTGGTATTTGTTTGTTAAAAAAAAATAAAAAAATATGTAGTTGACCATTCTACGAATTGCATTTTTGAAAAATTCATCCACAGTCACTTTCGACAATTTTGGTCTTCCTGTTTTTCGGTTTGGGTGGGGTTATACCAGCTGATTTTTCCTCTTTTAAAATGTTATATACAGTTGATTTTGAATATCCATTACTTAGACGAAATTTAACTAGCTATCAAGAGTATTGGAAGGATTGTGTTGCTTAAAATAATTGTATACATTGAGGATAACACTCTTTTCGTTAAGTGATAAATGATTCAACTTTAATTTTTTATTTTTTCATATAAATCCATATTCTATAAACTCACTATTCACTCTTACAAAAAACAACTGTGTCAAATCTCTTCACTCGCTTATAATCGACTGAACAAAAATATTCTTATATTAATGATGGACTATTTACAGATAATTAACCATTTTATTAATCATTGGTTTTCCAAACAAAATCGAAATTTATACTATTTAAAATAGCGTTCACATTTATCGGAAACCATCTTTCGCTAATCGATTTTTCTATCTAAACTATCAAAAGACCATTAACTAAATACCTATTTATTTTAAGAGTTTCTTTATTTCTTGTTATTTAATGGGTCATTATCATAATGACAAAAATAACCATAAATAAGGTTACTAAAATAAACAGATTTATATAAATATAATATGCTTTGAAAATGGTTTAAATATCTAATAAACCGAAACAAATAATGTAATTCCTGTTCTAACAATAGCAGGTAACTAAATTTTACGATAGTCCATGTGACGTGGAAAAATTTCTATCTAAATAGTCAAACCCAACGTAAAATAAGCCAAAATATTGACGTACGAAAAGCACACGTACTAAAATATGCTTAACAATATAGTTTTTTTTTCTGAGAATTTTCTACAGCTTATTTTTCAAATATACTATAGCTATATCGATCTATATATAATTAAGAGTATATAAAAACTTACCTAAATCTATGTTTCGGCGAAAACTCTCGCCTAAACAACGCCCTTTGGGTTAGCGGATCAGGTAACACATCAACTACTCCTTGGGTTAACAAGTATTTCATGAGGTACCGCTTTTGAAACACTAATGCCTTTTTCGTACTTTCCAGCTTAAGAGTCTTCGCAAATAAATAATCCGCCTAAAAAATTTTTAAATCAGCAACATTTTCGCAAAAGGAGTAAAGAAACATTATACAAGATCATTATTTTAGGAAAAAAAAATATATTAATTTCGTTAACGTCAATATTTTTCAATGTCAATGAGCCAATTATGATTAAAGTAATTACTAGCGGACCAACTCGACATCGAGTTTTTTAAATGAAATTTTTATTTTGCGAGAAAAATTAAGAGATCAATACAAACAATATAAGCAAGAATATACACAACATTCATCAATAATAATGCAAGTAAAAAGTGTATTAAATATCACGAAATATTTCGCCGAAAACAATGTTTTTTGTTACAATGTCTCTATTTTCTGAAAACTTTTGCTTGTCACCGGGAGTTATGTAAACTTTTACTTTTTACTTTTTAATAAAAACGAAACCGGAAGTCGACCTCAAAACCGGAATGCAATTTTTAGTTCATTAAATGTTGACATGGATATCATTTAGCAGTTAATTTTGCATGCTGATCACGAATCCGGTGTGAGTTTTTTATATGAGAAGCTTAGAGATTTCTTTGAGATCTTGGTCAATAACTTGCTCTTGGTTATGAATCTCCCGTTTAATTTCGATTTTGATCATATTGCGTCTAGTCTCTGGGATTAACTTCATTATTACTTTATTTTATTTAAATCTATTTTAATATTGAATTAAAATGAAGACATTTGTGCCTTACAACAATTATCAAATTATTTTTTTTGGTATTTTTAATAAAAAAAATAAACAATAATTACAGCTTCCCCATATTATGGGTTTGTTTTAATACAGCGTTAAAAAGAAATAATGACATTTACTATAACGTCATTAATTGTATGAAGTGTAACGCTACTTGTTTTGCCTTTACCATGGGTTAGAAATTCTTTGGGAATAAAAATCCTATACAAGTACTTACCCTAGCTGCCAAATCGTTTGAGGGTAGCTGCGCAGACGAATTTTTCACAGCTCCTCGCATAATTTCTAGCTCGTTCTCTACTTGCGTTTTTTCATTCGAAATCCTGGTAACCAAATCCACAAGCTTCTTATTTTCAATGAATGCACTATTTAACTCTCTAATTTTTTTTATCAGTTCGTCGGGTATGTCGTTGGTCACAGTGACAGCCGCCGGAGATTCGAATGAATTCTGAGATTTCAGTCTTTGAAGAAGTTCCAGTTTTTGTTTGATGAGGTCGGCCTTTTCTTGTGATATTTCGTCCTATAAACAGAATTAATCGTCTTGTATGATTCTTTTTGTAAAGGGTACAAAAAATATGCGTTCGTTATACTTACTAAAACTCTTTCCTTTTCCAGTGTCGTCTTCGTAAGCTTCTCTTTCAGTTCCCTTTCTCGCGTCTGCAAACTGTACACTTTCCCCTCTAAATTTTTCTTCCTTTGCATTTCCAGAGCTAAAAGATCCTTTGTACACTTATAATCTGTCGTCATATCCAGATGGGTCTGTCTTAAACCGGCTAATTCACCAATGAGTTTGCTTTGTTCGCCCAGTAAGACTTCGTGGTCTTTCTGCAGTTTATTCAAGGCGATGGATTCTTTGCTTGGAAGTTCTTTGTATTTAGTAGATTCAGATCTGGAAGCCGAACTTATGTTCTTTCTCTAAAACATATTAAATACAGTATTGTTACGTTTTTTTTTATTTTATTTTATTAATTTTATTTTCACTCCAAAAACAAAACTAAATTACAAATATCATAAATTCTAATTACATTAAAAACACAGTGTTGCAATTTAAAAATATATATATCGATGACTGAGAAGTGGACAAAGTTTTCGAACTCACATACAGATCTTTTACAAACCGCCATCTAACTTTAACTGGCGTAATACAGTATGTGTTTGAAAAGACTTTGACACTCTGTTTTGTGTCTTGACTTTGCACTCAACTTTCGAAAGAGTTGCCTTTAGCAATGTTATTAGATGCTACGGAATATCTAGTTCTGCTATGGCATTATAAAGTGCGCTTCTGTCTACACTGCCATAAGCGCTTTTAAAATCTATGAAGAGGTGGTGGATATCAATTCCATATTCATATGTCTTTTCTAAGGTTTATCTGAGAAGGAAAATCTGATCAATTGTTGACATTTTTTTTTCGGAATCCACATTGGTATTTGTCTATTTTTTCCTCAGTATATACTAGTAAACGATCATAAAGTTTGTAAGCCGTATTTAAGAGGGTAATGCCTTGATAGTTGTCACATATTAGCGGATTCCCTTTCTTGTGAATAGGTATTATAATACCTACATTCCAACTGTCTGGGATTTCTCTCCAAATGGATGCAACAAATTTTATTATGTATTTTTTCAGCGCGTTTGCTCCATACTTGAACGGCTCAGGAGGTATACCATATCCTCCCGGGAATTTGTTGTTTTTTAACCTTTTTATTGCCTTGGTTACTTCTTCTTCTAGTCTTCTTCTAGTCGGCCAGATAGCTCAGCAAGCTGTGCGGCTGCCTCTCATTCGCTTCATTGTCGAATGGTTCAGTGGATGTGGGTTCGAGCCCCAGCTCGGTGTACAGAAAACAAAAAGTCTAACGCAGCAGTTTAAAATTCTAGATGAATCTGCGGCTTAGACTAGGATATGCTGGGATCTGATCGGCCTATGGTGGAGCAGTACGGCAAGAGATAAGGGCTTGCGGCTACTGTGGTACCATTTATGGCAGTCACCTCTCATCGTTACGCCACTGTGGTCATTTATGGCAGTCACTTCTCGGTAGCCCAGAAATGGGAGAAAAGACTGATCGAATGCATCTTGAGTGCTCTTGAATCCGAGTTTTGACAGGAACGACCAGTTTCGCCAATATACACATGTCCACATGAACAAGGAATAGAATAGACACCACAGGAAGATAGGGGCGGTAAATAGGGTCCTTAGGAGAGGGTAGATATTGTGAGTATTTTCTTGGGAGGTCGAAAAGTAGTCTGATACCTTCTTTGCGAAGAATTTTGCCAATCCTATCAGTGACACTTCGAATATACGGAAGGGAAAGCCACAGGTGAGTATTACCCGAAGATTCTGAATTTGTCGTCCTAGGGTGTAAAGGGGGATGTAGATGTCGGTGTGTTAATATTTTGAATTGTGGACTTGGAGTAACCGTTGGCGACAAGGGTTTTTTGTGAGATGGTCCAAGTTCTATCTCTAAGGTTGTCTCAGGTTCAGAAATCCGAAATAGCACCGATGGATGAGAGGTTGAATCACCGAATTCTTTTGGGCAGGATGGTGGTGTGATGAAGCATGTAGGTAACGATTCGTGGTGAGTCTATTTTCTATAAACAGAGTGACCAAACGGCCATTGGGCTTGGAGGTGACTAACACCTCGAGAAAGGGAAGGGACCGATTATTTTCTACTTCCATTGTGAATTTTAACTCGGATGTTGTGAGTTAAAGATGATCTAGGAAGGGGAGAAAGGGTATGTTGACCATGGGGCCAGATGATATAATGTATCATCAACGTAGCGGAACAGACTTTCCGGTTTTAATGGGGTAAGATTCTAGGGCTAAAGACTCAAAGGCTTCCATGAAAATGTCAGCAATGACAGGGGAAAGGGGAGAACCATTGGTGTTTCCAGATTCTTCAAAGTGTTCCCAGTGTTCCTTATTATGGTTATTCTAGATTTAAATTCTTTTCTGTTGTGGTTCACATTTTTATAAAATTTTCGCGCTTCGCTTGTAAATTGAGCCTTTCTAGTTCCTGCAGCTGGTTTTCTAAATGTCGTTTTTTCTTTTGTTTTAGTATCTTTTTCTCTGCTTGTCTCCTCTTTCTGTCAAAAGAAACCTCCTCTTTCTTGAGTTTCTAGATGTAAATTCCTCTGGATTATAGTCTCCCTTCACGTTCCAGATGTAGTCAGTCATCATAGTAGTATTCCACCTGCCATAATAACGTTGCTTTATTAATTTAATATCGTGATGGAACCTCTCCTCTTGTTCTTTTCTGTAATCTCCCAAATTATCGCGGAAATAATCCAGGTGTGAGTAAAGAAAATGAAGTTTTACACTCATAAGATAACCTAGGTTTTGGAAACTTCTTAACACGCCGTTTATTTCATCTTTGTAATTGAGATTTTTTGGTTTCCACGAAACCCCTTAACAACTGATGTGAAGATCCTCCATGCATTTTTCCCTTAGTATCCATGCATTTTTTAAAGTCAGTGTCGATCATTAGTTGGCGAATTTGAGGACACACAAAAACTCCAGCTTTTATTTTCTCAAAAGTTATCTTAGGAAACTTCTTACCCAAATATTGGAAATATGAGAATGCCGATGATTTTGAAATTTCACAAATTTTAGCACAAATAAAAAATATATATTTATCTGTTCATATTATACGACAATAAAGTTGAAACTGATGCGTTTTCTGTATCTTCAATATCGATTAAACTTATTATCAAAAGGCTAATACTTTCCGCAACAGAGAAAATCAAACAGCCGAAATATCGAGACGGTAAGAATGGGATGGGCAGCGTTCGGCAAACTATCTTACGTTTTAAAAAATCAAACAATCCCTCTATACTTACGAAGCAAGGTATATAACTCCTGCATAATACCGGTGCTCACCTACGGAGCACAGACATGGACATTTACACAGGGCAATCTGGATAGGATAAGGAAGGCACAAAGAGCGATGGAGAGACAATGTTGGGTGTATCACTTAGAGATAGAAAACGTAACAGTGGATCAGAACCAGAACAAAGACAGTAGACGCGATAGAACAAGCAGCAAAACTGAAATGGAAATGGGCTGGACACAATGAACGTCTCCAAGACGGACGATGGAACAATGCCATCGGAAAGTGGCGTCCATACAATGCAAAGAGATCAAGAGGCAGACCACAGATGAGGTGGAAAGATGACATCAGGAAACAAGGAGGTCCCACATGGCAGAGAACAGCTCAAGATAGGGAAAGATGGAGAGAACTGGGGGAGACCTATATCCAACAATGGAAGGATAGAGAATAGGTTAAAAAAAAATACTTTCCGCTATTAATTAGCAGGTCACGCGATATGAAAAAGGTCCAACGGATTTGGATTCAGCGCCATATTATAGCCTACAATTAACACGGATATCGCTTACAAAAACACTTCGCGAATACTGATATTCTAATTTATCCTCGGCAGGCTCATATAAACAGATCATGTATTCTAGAAATAGGAAGCGAATGGACGGAGGCCAAAATTGGCGCGATAACATTAACTGCAGAAACTTACCGCGACTAAAACGTTGATAAAAACGGGGTAACTCAACAGTATTTTTCGTAAAACCAAAACCGCAAAAAAATCATCGGAAGCTTCAGTTCGTTATGAAATGTCTATTGAAGGAGACCTCAACTAACTTGTTTATTGACAGTTAAGACTCTCTACGATTTCGATTATAAAAACTTACCTTGAGCGAGTCTAATTCCTTTTCCAATTGTTCATTCTCCGATTCTTTTTCTGATAGAGCTCTTTTGAGGGCTTCATTCGCGTCCAAAGCGGCATCCAACTGGATTCTTAACTGTTCTATACACTGGGCATCTTCTGTACTAGTATGCAACAGAGCAGCACGTTCTTTCTCCAAATCATTTTGTAATTCCGTTATTTTGTCTTGTAACGTGTTTACTTGTTGAAGGAGTTGTTTCTTGCGGGCTTTTTCCTAACAATGAATAGTGTGCTTTAGTCCAGGCTGTGAGGCCGCTCCCGTTGGGAAAATGTTTCTGATTCGGTTTCTTCGCGGATTCCGGTTCAAAAATGTCCCCCTTAAACAAATCTGAAGGGTGCCGGGCGAAATTTTTGGTCAGAAAATGTTTAAACAATTTTTTTAAACAAAGTCCAAAAATTATTATTTTTTTAATCTGAAAAACGTTTTTTTAGGTTTTTTTGGGCCATTTTAAACAAAAAAAGTCTCTTGTCATTTTTCTCTAAAGTTGATAGTTTTCGAGTTATAAGCGATTTAAAGTCTGAAAAACGCGAAAATACGCATTTTTGAGGCTTGAAAACACATATGTAAATTATTATTTTTGAGGTTACCAAGTGTCTAAATCAAAGTTTAAACATTCAACTTCAAGATTGTGCAGAGTAATCGGGGCTTATTTTAATTTAGACCGTTGTTTTTTAATTGTTAAGTATGCGCGTACACTCGATTTTTCAGCCGCCGCGGCGCCGCGCACTACCGTGCGCCTCTATCCTATTTATGCATAGTTTACATATACTTACAAATAATTATTATTTATTGAGTATATATTTATTTATATCAATTGAGTTATAATATAAATTTCGTCTAAAGTCTAATAATAGTTACATAAAATAATTGTATATATATATATATATATATATATATATATATATATATATATATATATATATATTCGGTTTTATAACGTCTTACGACGTTGTCCGACTCCCAACCGCCACTGTATTCGGTCTTGAGTTAGGTCTTCGTCCAGATTTCGAGCGCTAATCGCTTTCCTAACTCCCAGGTTCCAGCTCTGTGGTGGTCTTCCTCGTTTCCTCTTCTCTGGGGGTTGCCACATCATCGTTTTTTTAGGCAATCTTTCGTCCCCCATTCGGCTCACATGTCCATACCATATGAGCTGTTTTCTCTCAATATCCTCAACTATAGTGCCCTCTATACCCATTTGTTGTTTTATTACTTCATTTCGTATTCTGTCGGCTCTTGATATTCTCATCGAACTTCTGATGGCATCCATTTCCGTGGCTTCGACCTTTTTCTTATATTTCTCGGTTATTCTCCATGTCTCAGCTCCATAAAGTAGGCTAGTTTTAACCATTGTCTCATAGATGTTCCATTTTCTTTTCTTTGATATTTCTTTACTCCATAGAACTCCGTTCAAACATGCTATAGCTCTGCGTGCTTGTACAATTCGATGTTCTATTTCTCGTTCGTCTTTTCCACTACGGTCGAAGATGACGCCCAGGTATTTATATTCGTCACATGGATTTACTTTTTGATTGTCATCGATATCGAGTTGTTCTGCTTCAGCTCCAATTGAGAGGTATTTTGTCTTTTCTAAATTGATATTTAATCCCCATTTCTGGTATTCTTCAATTAGTTTTCTAAGCATGTATTCCATGTCGTCTTTGTCATTTGAGATCACCACCTGATCATCTGCAAACTGTAAAGTATATATGTAATCCTGATCGTTCAATTGTATACCCATTCCTTTGACTTTCCTTTTCCATTGTTTCAGAGCTGCAGAGATATAAATCTTAAACAGAGTCGGAGAGATACAACATCCTTGTCTGAGACCCTTAGTAACTGCAAATTTTTCAGCTAAGAGATTTCCGAATTTCATTTGGGAGTTTGAACCATAATATAGATCTTTGAGAGCACTAACCAATGTTTGATGTATATTTGATGTGCCCAGGACTTCCCATAGTTTATTTAGCGGGACTGTGTCATATGCCTTCTCAAGATCTACAAAAGTCATATGTAACTCTCTATTTGTCACAACTTTCTTTTCTATAATTTGTTTAAGACAGAAGATGTTATCTGTACATGAACGACCTGCTCTAAATCCTCCTTGTTCTTCGTCTTCAGACGATTGATAATCTTCCTCTATCAGGTCCCGTAGTATTCGACCGTATAGTCGACTCATTGAACTTGTGACCGATATCCCTCTATAGTTTTTACAATTTCTCCTGTCACCTTTTTTATATATTGGGGTCATATATGCTGTTTTCCATTCATCTGGTGTTGGATGTCCATTAATATATTCGTTAAATATCACCGTGGTCATTCTGTGTAATTTCTCTGAGCCATTCTTTATTAATTCCGTAGTTACTCCCTCTGGTCCACTTGCTTTCCCATTCTTCATCCCTGCTATAGCTTTTTGAACTGTGTTGATGTCTATGGTAATATGCTCTCCCAGAATTTCCCAGAAATAATTGTATAAAAGATTGTTAAATAACACACTAATATCACTCAGTAAAAGTATCTTTGTTTTCACAAAAATCTAAATCACATCCACATAATGGTTCACAGTTGACATGATTTTTCTTGCAGTTGCAAGCATTAGTTTTGCAAGTCTTTTTGCATTTGCACGGTTTCCCAACCCACCACTATCAGACATATAATATCCATATTGTGCAAAATCGAGAGTTTGATAGCGGGAATATAAGGCATTTCGCCAAATATATGTTTTAGCGAAAGCTCTTAACAAGTGTTGGTAAAGTGCGTCAGAGGTACAAGGTATATTGGCTAGATTAAATTAAATTTTTCAGTCACACTGTCTTTTCGTCGAAGAGCAGCATTTTGTATTGTTATGTAAAAATCTACTTTAGGTTTTTGCACTAACTTAATATTGTTGATGTTATTACAAAAAATGCAAACTAAATTTTCTTCGGTAAGTTTTCATTTAAGAAGAGGTACGGAAAAAGACATTTTAAATCCATTCACAATTTTTTTAATAACACAATAATATAATACCCTTTTAATGGGCATTAAACAATAGTCTTTCTAATGATCGTTTAAGTAATAACAAATCAAGTATGAGCGCACGATTGTTAAACAGGTAAAAACTTGCATTTTTGCGATAGTATATTGTTTTTAAACACCGCGCAATTTAAAATTAAGTTTACTAATATTAATATTTACTGCATTGTATTATTAAAATAATAATTTAAAAATATTATTTACAATTGATATAAATAAATATATACTCAATAAATAATAATTATATTGTTCAAATTTGGAAGAAGAAAAAACTATATACGGTTATTACATTGCGATGATTGATTTATTTAATTAGCCCAATGACAATAATTAATACCTACATAAATAAATTATGGAAAAAACTATGTTAATAAACTTCAAGGATTTATTCGGGTTTTTTTGCGCAAGTGTATATGTAAACTATGCATAAGTACGATAGAAGCGCACTCTAGCGCGCCGCGCCGCGGCGGCTGAAAAATCGAGTGTACGCGCATATTTAACAATTAAAAAACAACGGTCTAAATTAAAATAAGCCCCGATTACTCTTTACAATCTTGAAGTTGAATGTTTAAACTTCAATTTAGACACTTGGTAACCTCAAAAATAATAATTTACATATGTGTTTTCAAGCCTCAAAATGCGTATTTTCGCGTTTTTCAGACTTTAAATCGCTTATAACTCGAAAACTATCAACTTTAGAGAAAAATGACAACAGACCTTTTTTTTTAAATGACCCAAAAAACCTAAAAAAACGTTTTCCAGATTAAAAAAAAATATTTTTGGAATTTGTTTAAAAAAAAACAATTTCTGCCCAAAAATTTCGCCCGGCACCCTTCAGATTTGTTTAAAGGAGATATTTTTGAACCGGAATCCGCGAAGAAACCGAATCAGAAACATTTTCCCAACGGGAGCGGCCTCACAGCCTGGACTATTTAGAGAAAGTTGTAATACAAAAATTAATAAAACAGGAGAATAATTCATAATTTAGTGATCGATACGATTATTTGGGGAATATGTTTCAGTGGATTAGATTAAATTGACGCAGGGCAACAAATTTAGTCTACAAACCTTGGTCAAAGACTTTTTGTAAGCCTCGACGTCTTGTACTTCCGAAATCGAACTCAAACTCTGGTCACTAACGGCGCTCATGATGTTGGAATCGATTTTGATTGAGTTATCCAATTCCCTTTTGAGTTGGTCTGCTATATCATCTACCGAAGTCGTCATTTCGTTGCTCTTGCACTGCATCAACTGAACTTTTAAGTTGTGGATCTCTTGGACTAATTCTGCTCTTTTTTTCTGTTCCTCTCGTAGCTTGTTTCCCAGATCTATGATGTGTCCAGGTTCCTGAGACGATAATGAATCATAAACAAGATGCAAGATAAAATACAATTATTAGAGTCAAATGTGTAACATAAAATTAGTTCATAATTGAGATACAGATACTAATTGAATAATTACCAATACATTTAAGCTACAGAAACCTTTTTGGATGACTTATTTTGCACATTTCGACTAGCGCAAAGGATAGAACAAACCAATTGCTAAATTGTTTTCGTGCATAATCGTCAGAGTAGATGATAAATAGTTTGAGTAAATAGTCAGCGGTTTGAGTTGGACAATACACAGATTGTCTTATCAGTCCTGCAAATAAGTAATGGAAGCTTCTGGACTATAATCAGACAAATGAAGGGAGGAAACACAAAGAAATAACTGCAGTAAGAGATACAACAAATGAAATACAGACCAAAGCGGAACAAATATTTAAGATATGTAAATAATAATAATAATATGAAAATAAATTCATATCAGCTTAGTACTGAAATAGTAGATAACGAAAATGAAACATCAAGACAAGAAGAATAAAGAACTGACTGAAACAAGCGAAAAATAAATAATAAACGATTCTTCTTCTTCTTCAGATGCAAATCCACTAATGGATGTTAGCGATCACATTTTCCATTAATTCTCTATTTCTTGCAATATGTATCAGATATTGTATGTCGTTAATCCCTGTCCATTGCCTTATGTTTCGGAGCCAGGACATTTTCTTGCGTCCCATTCCTCTCTTGCCTTCAATTTTACCCTCGATTATAAGTTGGAGGAACTGGTATTTTTCATTTCGCATGATGTGACCTAGATACGCCGTTTTCCTTTTCTTAATGGTTTCGAAAAGTTGGCGTTCTTGGTTTATTCTTTTAAGGACATCTATATTTGTGATTTTCGCTTTCCATGGTATTTTTAGGATAGGGCGATGAAGCCACATTTCGAAAGCTTCTAATCTGTTTATATCCCTCGTTTTGAGTGTCCAGCCCTCTACGCCATATAGCAGCACTGACCATACGTAGCACTTAGTAAACCTTAGTCTCAGTTGAAGATCGAACTCTGAACAAGTCAGTACCTTCTTGAATTTTACGAAAGCTTGTCGAGCTTACTCAATGCGACATTTTACTTCCCTGTCCGATGCCCAGCCTTCAAAAAGCCACGATCCCAGGTATTTAAATTTACTCACTCTTTCTATGGATTTACTATTCAGTGTTATGGTGGAGTTTTCAAGTGCATCCAAGTTTCTGGAGATGATCATGAATTTGGTCTTTTTGGTATTAATCTCTAATCCCATTCGCTCACTGTATTCTCCGATTATAGTGACAAGTTGTTGAAGATCGACTATGTTGTCACAAATTAAGACACCATCATCAGCATATCGTATGTTGTTGATCATTACTCCATTCACCTTGATTCCCATCTCTGCATCCTCCAAAGACTCTTGAAATATGGCTTCCGAATAAATGTTAAATAAAAGAGGGGAAAGCACACATCCCTGTCGAACGCCTCTTCTTATATGTATGGGCTTGGATATAGAATTGTCTATTTTTAGCTGCGCCGTTTGATGCCAGTACAAGTTTTCAATGCATCTTATGTCTTTTCGGTCTATATCAACTTTCTTGAGAATCTGCATTAACCTGTGGCGTTGGACACGATCAAACGCTTTTTGGTAATCTAAAAAGCATAGGAACACATGCTTCCTCTGATCGTAACAATTTTGGACCAGCACCTGTGTTGCTACTATTGCTTCTCGTGTTCCTAAACCTTGCCTAAACCCGAACTGGAAATCACTGATGTCCCATTCACATTTTTTGTATAATCTTTGATGTAGTATTTTTAAGAATATCTTTCAAGTGTGACTCATCAGGCTAATGAGTCTGTGATCCTCACATCTTTTTGCATTGACTTTCTTGGGCAGGAGAATAAAGGTAGAGCGTAACCACTGTTGAGGATAGCAGCCAGTTTCATAAATTAAATTAAATAATTTGTGTAGTGCTGAAATTCCCCTTCCATCTAGTAATTTGAGTATTTCTGACGGGATCTCATCTGGTCCAGGTGCCTTATTGTTTTTTGAATTTAATATTGCTTTTTCTATCTCCTCTTTGGTGATTGAAGGGCCAGTCAGCCGGTAGTCTGTATAAACTTCACTCATGGGTCTTTCGTCATGGAAGAGCTCCTGGATATAATTTTCCCATATATCAATTATCTCCTTTTCACCCAGCACTATCTGGTTATCCTGATTAACTATGGTAGTTGGTCTTCGTTTTCTGTATATTCCAGCAGTCTCCTTAAGCTTTTTATGTAAATTACGGTCGTCGTGCTGTCGTTGTAAATGTTCTAGATCGGTACATTGTTGCTTAAGCCATTCATTTTTTGCTATTCTTATTTTTGCTTTTATTTGCCTGTTAATGTTTTCATACATATAGCTGCCATCTTGGTTATAATATACGATTACCAAAACCAAAAGTAGGTCATGCAGATCTTGAGATGTTGATATAGATCCACTTACATGGAGCTTCGCAAACCACACTGATAGACGAAAAGACTAACGTTGGAACGCCCCAATACAACACTGAAGACCTTACAAAAGTAGACGACAAAGAGAAAGACCACAAATGGGATGGGTAGATGACATCAAAAAACCAGCCGGAACAAATTTCTCTAACAGGGATAATTTTTAATCCCTAAAAAATAAAAGGCAACCAACGGCATAAGTCCAATTTTGAAGTGGAGGGTAAGTATAAGCTAAATTTCCTTGCAAATCAGTGGAGATAAGGTATTCGATGACGTTGTTTTAATTATAACTGATCTAGGGGGCGAAATTTAGGGGTTAAACTGTGATAAGATCTTAAATTATGTTGTTTAATGTTAATTGACACTCATTCCTTTTATTAAAAGATGATTTGAATCAATTTTCCGTTTAATATACAATTTTTTTTAATAGGGATATCTTTTACTCCTAAAAAATCAAAAGCAACCCTCAGCACAAGTCCAAATTTTCATGCAATTCGGTCGTGACAAGGAAAATTACAGGGTATCGCTGTATTTGTCCAAAAATGGACGATAGAAGGCTAAAAAGAAGAATAAGACAGCTGAGTGAATACTAAAAGTCAGTAACTCTGGAGACGAAAATAAAAACGCCTGGAAAACATGGATAAATGAAAACTAATATAACTCCAAATCCGGAACTTAAAAGAGTAAAAGGAGAAAAGAAAGGGAGAAAGAAACATACTATATTTTATATATTTTATAAGTTGATATATATCCAATATATAACAAATTTAATTAATATCGATAAAATTCATAAAACAATTTTCAATAATTGTTAATTTCCACGTACCTGTATTTTCTATACATTATTTACCATTAACCTTATATTAAAAATATACTTTTTCGATATTCTCAAAACAAAAACACTCGATTCGTACACTAAAATATTATTTTCATAGATATTTAAAACAGATTATGTCACTATCTCGTGTCAACATTTCGTGAATACCATTATCTCACAATAGTCGCAATCTGTGAATAAAAATACGTGAAATTTTACGAGATGACCTTCGAAATTAATCATTCGTTTTGAACCCATAAATAAATTATAAAATACACAGTAAGATAAATAAAAAAAGTCACGTTCAATTAAATTATTCACGACAAAAACAATTGACTATTATTCGAAAAGATTTTAAACATATTTTCAGATTTTTCATTGTACCATGGTTTATACCGATGTGAGTGATCATTTTTTACAGAAAGTTGAATACAGCTTGAATGCTTCTTTTTCGGAGGATAATATTGATAAATGAGGAAGATTTTATTGGAGATATTTTCAGATCTATAAAATATCCAGAAAGTCATGAGCCCAGAATGCGGTATAACATTCTAAAAAAAATCATGAATACAAAGTTAAGTTAGCCAAGCAAAGTTCCATCCATCCAATGGCACTACAGCCCAAGCCGGGCCTTGGCCTCCTTCATTAAACCTCTCCAAACATCTCTATTTACTGCTGTTCTTTTCCATGAACGCGTTTTTAGGAGACTTTTGGCATCCTCATCTACCTCGTCTTCCCATCTCTTTTTTGGTCTTCCAACAGGTCTTTTTCCTTGCATTCTTGCGTTTAGTAATTTTCTGGGGATTCTGTTCTCATGCATGCGGGCCACATGCCCTGCCCATCGTAATCTCTGCAGTCTAGTGTATTGTGCTAGTGTTGGTTCAGTGTATTGTTCGTATATTTCGTTATTATATCTAATTCGCCAGTTGTTATTTTCCTTTATTGGACCCAGTATTCTACGCAATATTTTTCTTTCGAACACGTCTAATGCATTGGTAGATTTCTGTGTTATAACCCATGTTTCACACCCATAACTTAGTATTGGTCGGATTATTGTTTTATATACCCGGAGTTTTGTTTTCCGGTGTACGTCTCGCGATTTGAATATGTGGCCCATCGCGAAATAGGCTTTGTTTGCCAGCATAAGCCTTCTATTTATTTCCGGTTCTTCTTCATTATTTTCGACCAGATCCATTCCTAAATACGTGAATCTATTCACGTATTCTATATCGTCTATAAATTGTTGTTGTTGCGCCTGTCTATTTGATCTGGTTTGTATGAGTAGTTTTGTTTTATTTGTATTTATTGTTAGCCCTACAACTTCTGAACTCTGTTTCAACTGAACGTAGGTTTCTTCTGCCGCAGTCTTTGTTCTGCTCATTATGTTTATGTCATCTGCGTATGCTGCTAATTGGGTAGATTTGTTTGTAAGTATGTTATTTCTGCTCACCGTCAACCGTCTAATTACATATTCAAGAACAAGATTAAAAAGTGTTGGAGCCAGTCCGTCACCTTGTTTCAGTCCTTGCGTTGTCATAAACGCATCAGTGATCTGTCCTTGAATACATACATGTGCTTCTGTCTCTGTCATTGTCATTTGCACTAGTCTTATTAATTTTGATGGTATGCCAAATTCTTGTAATATATTAGGTAGTATTGTTCTATCTATTGAATCATAGGCTTGCTTGAAATCTACAAAGAGATTGTAGACGTCTATGTCATATTCCCATGCTTTGGCTAGTATTTGTTTAACTGTAAATAGTTGGTCAATAGTAGATCTATTTTGCCTGAACCCTGCTTGATATTCCCCGATAATTTTTTCAGTGAGGGGTTGAAGTCTTCGATTAAGAATGTTTGTGAGTATTTTGTATCCCGAACAAAGTAAAGAGATGCCTCTATAATTCTGGCATAACAGTTTGTCTCCTTTTTTATGAATAGGGCAGATTATACTTTTCTTCCATTGTTGTGGGATTTTTTCTTCTCTCCATATTTCTTGTATAAGCTGGTACATCTGTTCTGTCAAATTTGTTCCTCCCTGCTTGAACAGTTCTGCCGGTATCTTCTGTCAAGCAAAGTTACTTTAATAATAAAATGATAAATACGCAGAACAGTACGGCTGAGGCTTGGCGCATCAGATTAAAATATTCACAGATTCGTTGTTGCTTGAAGTGAAAGTGAACGATCCCAATTTTTGCACCCCTCGAAAGTTAGTGTGGGTTCCACGGCACCCGCGGAACCCGCTACGGCCACGCCTATATGTATTTCGAATTTGTTTGAATTGGAAACACAAGTGTTTTTTTTTTTCACTGTGATACACAGCACAAAGAGGACAAAAGGCGATTTAGATAGAAAAATCTACCTACCTACTTGATAAATCGGCGTTGGGGACCAATACTAAGTAATAAGAACATAATATAACTCACCTGTATTTTACTCTTAATGGATACCAAATTGAGATGAACCTGTTGATGATCTTCGACCATTTGTTTTATAATTTTGTCTTTTTCATTCAATAATTCCGCCAAGTGATTCTTTTCCTTTGTAAGTTCGTCGATTTTGGACTCCTTTTCTTTTACTTCCTCTTCCAGTTTTCTCATATTTTTAGAATTTCCAGCTTCCAAGTCGGATTCTAAGGTGGCTATTTCCCGCTGATATCTGGAAATTTTGATTTTTGTTAGGTATGTATATTTTTTCAATTAAAATTATGGTGTATTCCCTTTAAATTAAATAGATGAAACAGCAATAACGGTGTTTAAAGAGTACCTTTTTTTGTGCAAATAATTGTTAAACAAAAGACAAAAAATTATTGAATTAAATTTAAATACAACAAACCTGTTGGCTTCTTCGTGCAAATTCTTTATCGCAGTCTCCTTTTCTAGCAACCAAGATTTCTGCGCATTTTTTTCTTCCTCTAATGATTCCAATGAAGACTTCTGAACTTCCAACTTTTGCTCTAACTCTCGGGTAAATCGTCTCCTCTTAGCCATTTTGTCCTTCATACCATTCAGTTCGTGATTTAACGATTCAATCTGTATCAATTTGTTTTCTAATTCCTTTCTTAACTTAACTATTTCGTTAGAGTGTTCTTTGAGCGCGTGTTCCAATTGCGAGTTCGATGAACGCGAGTCTGCCAACTGTGTCGATATAATTTCCATTTCTTTTAGCAAGGCACACCTCTCGACGTTGCAGTCTGATATTGTTTTCTTACACTTTTCGATTTCAACACTGAAAAATACATGAAAAAGATAGTACCATTATCATAATAAAGAAGTCAGGTTGTCACAGCTACACCCGATTTGGAAATGCGTAATAATACAGTTTTTAGGACAGAATACTACAACGGTCTTAATGCAGGTCTGACCAAATTTTAAAAAATATAAATCGATACTTTATTGCCTCAGTTTTGTAAACAATTTATAAGTATCATTACTCCGACAAAGGCTATAGCGGGATAAGATAGTCAAAAGTGCCCCCGCACCGATCAGCAACGCGACTTGTTCTTTCAATAAAGCATATAAAAACATGAATTCATACAAATTTTTAGCTTCCCAGAACCCATAGAACTTCTTAAATCTAAAAAAGAAGCTTTTTTCGACTTTATTTTTTTCTGGACGCAATTTTGCTTTAAAAAATCTGAAAAAATTCATGAAGATGTATCAATCGAATACAAAATAGCCTGATTTTCTTCAAATTTTTATATTGAAAATTGAGCTTAGGAAAAATAATTGAAATTTTCAATAATTTTTTAGGTTATATGTTAATAATTTTTGGCTAACATTTAAATAGTAATTTTTTATGTATTTTTTTTTCGTTCTTTTACATGGATAAGGCAGAATTTTCAATTTCTGGGCGGAATGCATCGAAAAATCAAAAAACTGTTTTTTTGCTCATTTATTTGCACATAACCTCAAAACTCAGTGGACAATTCAACATTTTTTCTTCCACATTATCAAAATCTATTGTGAACGTCCTCATTTAACTCTTTCATAAAGATAAAATTCAACAATACCACGTTTTTTATCCTTTTCACACTGTTTTTATCTTATCTCAAAATCAGATACACATATGCTTTTCATCTATTGTCTTACGGGCTATGAATCATTATTGTTGTCATAAATAATCATTTTCAACTTACAAATTTTCAAATTGCGAAAAAATCGTGTTTTTCTAATATTTTCCCACTTTATTGGCTCAGAACCTTAAAATCTAGTAGCTATATGATCGAATTTCCGCGTATTTTTGATCGCACCCTTCAATTTTGTTATGCCACTTGTCGTTTTTTCTTAAATAGTCAAAACTCGAAAAAAATCTATAGCTTTATGATTGACCCGTCCTCAACAATAATTGTTTTTACCGTTTTTAATCACATATCATTTTTATTATATCATATATCATTTTTTGTGCGCAAGCCTTAGCTGATAATGCATATTGCCTACATATAGTCTAATGCCAAATGTTTATCAAAATAAATAAGTTACTCGATAATGATTAAGCACGCCTATGGGATATATCAACCCTTTGTCCCAAAATACGTTGTGAGTTAATATCGAAAATCTCGAATCGTATTGAAATTCTCGAAGTACGAGTAGTAGGTCAAATCGAAGTTTAGAGTTGAATATTATAATTGTCATATATCCTATAGGCACGCGTATCGTACTCCATGGGCTATAGTTTATTTTTATGAACGAGAGAGTAATTAGCATAATTTTAACTGGTACCTCCGACTACTCCATGGGCGTGCTCAAGATTAATTGAAAAATTACTTTGAATAATTGTAAAAAATAAATGAATTATTTCAGTGTTATAAAGTGTTATGTGTATGTAAACAAAAGTGACCTCTTTTATCACACACTATATTAGAACTGACTGGCCTACATTAAAAAGGGTTTTAAAAAATTCACATTTTTTTTTAATTTTTAAAAATTACAAAAGAGAAAAAGAGTTTTTAAAACCGTCTAAGGTATGTTAAATAGATGAATAAAAATATTAATATAAAACTTACAGCTACTTGTTACAAATCCAAATCAGATTCAGAAGATGAACTTTCAGAACCAAGATTTATAATAACTGGCTCGATCATTTTATCAGTAATATTGTCCAGCTTCCACATTTTTTCCTCTTCTTTAATAGTGTGATTTACTGCCTTTTCCCAGTTTTCAGGTTTTACATTATTTACGGCCTCCAAAAACAACTGTTTAACATCATGAATTTTAAAAGTGGTATTTTTTCTTGAAACTTCACTCTTTATCTGTGCCCATACCAGTTCAATCGGGTTTAATTCACAATGATATGGTGGGGATCTAAGTACTGTCATTCCACGATTTTTGGCAATTTCATCAATTTCGTATTTTTTAAATTTTTCTTTATGAAGGGCACACAACGAATAAAGTTCCTTTCTTATAGATCCGGGATGGTACGTAATATTTTTTGAACTCAGCCAATTCTGCAAGTCTTTTTTTAACCACTTGGTTGTGGGCAGTCCTTCTATAAGTCTGGAGTGATAACTTGCATTATCCATTACTATTACACAGTTCTTAGGAAGAAGATCTATCATTTGTTCGAACCATTCTTGAAAGACATCAGCGTTCATGTCTTCATGGTAGTCACCGGTACGAGTTGATTCAAAAGTTAATAAACCACCTTCAACAAAACCGTCTGAACTGCCAATGTGTACTATTATCAGCCTGCGTCCCTTTCCTGATGGTGGGTTTAAACCAGTAGATAAGTTATTTACAAAAGCGTGCCTTTGACTTGTAACAGTTTCATCCTGCCAAAATTTATTTGGTGTATGACCCTCGTTGATCCATGTTTCATCAAGATAAAATATTTTTCTTTTTTGGTTTCTCATTTCCTTTATGGTTCTTAGAAAATGTCTTCTCCATATGACAATATCGCTTCTTTCTAATAAAATAGACTTTCTGGGATTCTTTTTCCAGCGGAAGCCTATTTCTTTTAAAAGTTTCCATAACGTACTTCGACTCATTTCTGGGTAATCCTTATCATCTCGAACTGAGACAAGAACTTTATCCAATGTTGGAAATTCTTGTCTAAAGAAGAATTCATGCACTTTCCGTCGAAGTCCTTCTTTAAAATGATATTCTATTTGAAATTTTGGTTTCCCTGGAGCATTACGTGGCATTTGAAAACTACCACATTTCTCTTCTTTAATAACTCTGTAAATCGTAGATTTTCCAACACCAAGTGTACTGCTAACTAACTCAACGGTCTCATCAACACTTTCACATAAACGTTTGTCTGTAAATGATTTAAAACAATTAAATATTAATGTTTTTTCATTAACTGTTAAAGGACCAATTTTTCGGCGTTTACACGGCACTTCCAAATTTTCCATAACACTAGTATACACAATAAACTGCACCTTGCAACTGAAGTACCTACTTTTAGTGAACTGTTAAGAATTTTGAATACGCCACTTGGACCTTCCTACAAAATGGAAAAACCCACTATCACATTTTCTGTGGAATAAGTTTAGAAGGTAATTATCTAGTCAATTACTGTCGTAGATTCCTGGAATTAAGAATTAAATGTTTGATTGTTGAAACCCTTACTTCGTGGAATGCACTCATTTCAGATAAAATAAAACGTTTTATTTTATCTAAAGAATTAAACTTTATTTTGCAAATAGGTAGGTACTTATTAAACTTTTATTGGTTATATATAACCAATAAAATAAACATCTTACATTTCTTGCAAATTCATTAGTACCTGTTAACCTCCATCACTCCGACACTGGCAACCTTATTTAGGGATTAGTAACCCTCACAACTATTGTATTCTATTCTGCTCCAACCTTTATACCTGGTGGTCATACTCAATTTAAAATTGTTTTCTTATATACTTCTGTAAACTTGTTGACAAATATCTGTTTCTCATTGAATCACCCGTATCAACAGTTTAGGGATTTGCATACATAATTTATTGTTTTATTACTCTCTCATACATAAAAATACACTATAACACAGTCAAAGAGATACGAAGGCGATGGCGACACGAAGACGATAGGAAGGCGACACTAAGACGAAAACAGTGACGACAGAAACAATGTCTGCTATGCGCATGATCAGTAACGATAACATCGACAATGGGAGTATGCGCGTTGAGAAAATTGTTTCTGTCGTCACTGTTTTCGCCTTGGTGTCGCCTGTCGCGGTGTCATACTCTTCTTCTAAAATCCGTTGATTCACATGAAAAAGTATTGAAAGAATTGAGTATATTAAAGTTATCACGTAGGTGCGAGTATGCGTCCGCCATCAGTGTAATATGTATCAATATTTGTATGTTAGAGCATGTAATTATATATTGTTTTTGTTATCACAAGATCAAGAATTAGAGTTTTAGCGTTTGAATAGTGATCAAAATGATGATGGGTTACAGGATATAATAATCGAAAGAATGTTAAAATTTAATCAAGGTGATAATACTTTAGCATTAGAAGCTGAGACAGCCAGTTGATCAAGACGTCCTACTACAACGACCTAGCTGACATCGCAAGAAATCATTAACTTTTCAGAGATGACTGAAAACAACCTAAAATTTTTTTTTTTTGGGAACCTATCAGTTAGGTCAAGCGATTTGCTATTTGGCTGAGTTGATGGATGATAATAATAACATCAATTTGGAGTATATTACAAGAATGCAAATATTATTTAAGTACTGATAAGACCCAGGCATATAAGCAGTAAGATCTTTAAATGCTACATTGAGTATAAACCTGATTCAGTTGGATTTGGTGGTATTTTGCGCCACGCATGTGACTGTGCACTGTGGGTTCGTGTTCTCATATAGCAGCAGTGATTTATTATCTGAGTAATTCAAGATATAAATCGAGAGTCATAAGGCCAGCAAAAATTATATCAGAAAATTTACATCTGATGTTGAATCAGTCATAGATGAGAACAGTGATGAAAACTAAAATGTAATTGACTGTTTAAACTATTAATTTAAATAACCTATTGTATAACAATTTTATAATAATAAATATTTTTGTAACCAAATATTTTATATATGTCCTCGTTTATATTCAAATTAATTTATAAAACAATTTTTATAATGTTAAAAAAATATTTAAAAAATAATAATAATATTCTTGTTCTATCGAGGTGATCCTAGACATATATCACTTTATGCAATTAACGAGTCCAAAATAGAAATAATGCTTAAAAAAAAACAGTTTTTTCAAGTTTTACTAAATTTACTAATGTTTGTAAAGAAAATCTAAATGCAGACAACGAAAATGATCAGAACGAGACAATATATTATACGGCGGAGCTGCACATCGAAAATCCGAGTTATGAAGAAGTAGTTCAGATAATAAATAAACTAAAAAACAATAAAGCACCAGGAACGGACGGAATTACGGAAAACGAAAGAATCCATTAACTAATAACATTAATACGGACGAAGGAGCAAATGCCAGAGGAATGTTAGCCTCATACAGCCAATATATAAAAAAGGAGATAAGAGGGAATGCCAGAATTATAGGCCAATTACATTGCTAAATGTAATATACAAAATTCTTTCTGGTACAATCTACAATAGATTATTAGAATACTCCGAAAATATAATTGGTGATTATCAAAATGGATTTAGACCAAATAGAGCCACTACAGATAACATATTCATACTAAGGACGGTACAAGAAAAAGCTTATAAATACGACATAGACCTATATAATATGTATATAGACTTTAAACAAGCTTTTGATAGTGTGAAAAGAGACAGAATGCTGAAAGACCTTTGTAATCTATACCTAAGAAATACATCAGCCTCATAAAAATGACGTTGCAGGGTTCAAAAGCCGCAGTCAGAGTAGATGGAGAACTGACTCCCCTGTTTAACATCAACATGGGAGTAAGACAGGGAGATGCCCTATCAACCATGCTATTCAACCTAGTTCTTGAGGCAGTCATCAGAAAAACCAATATAATCGGCCATATAAACACCAAATCAGTACAAATTACTGCATACGCAGACGATGTAGCCATCATTAGTAGGAATAAGCCACGACTAATTGAAGTGTTCAAACAAATTGACCCTGAAGCAAGAAAAAGAGGTCTCAAAATAAACGAAGCAAAAACGAAGTATATGACAGTCAAAAGAATAACTGACAATGAAAATAATATCACAATAGACAACTATACTATCGAACGAGTGGAAGCCTTTACATATCTCGGCACAGAAATCAATCAGAAGAACTCCGTAAGTAGCGAAATTAATGCACGTATTTCCAGCGGAAATCGTACATACTATGTTAATAAAAGATTGATGACATCGAAATTATTAGACAAAAGAACCAAAATGACTATCTACAGAACACTGATTAGACCCGTAGTAACCTACGGATGTGAAACTTGGGTAATGACGAAAAAAGATGAAGCCCAACTCAGGATTTTCGAGAGAAAAATACTGAGGAAAGTATATGGAACGGTACAAGAGGAAGATGGCACATGGAGAATCAGGAGAAACGACGAGGTTAATGAGTTAAATGAAGGTTATGACATTGTAAGGTTTGTGAAAAGTCAAAGACTGTCATGGCTGGGACATGTGCAGAGACAAAACGATGCAAAAACAACAAAGAAAATGTTACAATGGAAGCCCATAGGAAGGCGAAAAAAAGGAAGGCCCAGAACGAGATGATTGGATGACGTGGAAGACGACCTGAAAACAATGAACATAAGACAATGGAGAAGAAGGGCACAAGAGAGATCTGAATGGAAGGTCATAGCCAGACAGACAAAGACCCATCTAGGGTTATGATGCCAAAAGAAGAAGAAGAACTAATGTTTGTATTTTGAGAACGATTTCCGAAGTGGAAATTGAAACGATAATAAACGTACTTTAATCATTAATTGTGACTTATTCCCATTTAAATAGTAATGACGATAATTATAGTGTTGAATGAGAGACGTGATTCCCGTCTCGACTTTTACTTCTTGGGATTTTGACGTTTTGTAAAGAAACTCTTTTTTAAAATCTTTTGAACCATCCTTTACTCGCTTTTAAACTAGAAGATTCGTTGTCATCCTTTAAATTGTCATAAAGACGAAGAGCCTTTTCTTATTTTATTCGTGTGCTAATTGGCATCCTCTTTTGTTTGCTCTTCGATCTAAAGGGCCAGCGCTTTTTCCATTTTGTCCAAGGTTTGAGATCGCGAAAAATAAGTTACTTCGTTGCTTGAACTAGTGCCATAACAACACTGGAATGAATGGTTTTCTCATTCTTTAATAGTCCTTGCAGTAGATTTATTCATTCTTATTTGCAGCCCTTCAACATGATTTTTCTACAGCTAAACATTCTACCAACTAAATTCTTTGATATCGTTACGAACATGCTTTCGGCATGACTCATATAACGGTTGCATCTTGAAACGGCTTCCAGAATAATCACCAGACCTCTCGAAGGCAAGAGAACAATCGTTCACGTGCGCGAATTAGAGGTGGGAACTTTCTAGAACATAGTAACTTAGGTATATATATGTAACGCCCTTAGGAGTGAGTTTAGTTGATAAGATAGTATCGAACTGTAAAGTTATAAATAAATATATTTATATAAATTCGAACCGCTCGTTTTATTTAATATCGCTACAGTTGGTGTCAGGTGTGGGGTTTGAAAATAAATGCAGCAGTGACTTTAAAAAAAAAAGACTTTTGAACTTTTGAAAAGTATTGTTCGTCGGGAACATCCGCGTATTTCGGTAGTGATCTTTGTACGAAAGAACATTTAAAATAAAAGTACGTGTGTGCCTGATCAAAGATGCTGCTAGTAGAACTTTCAGTAAAGCAGTTGCGTGAGCAACTAGAAGAACGTGATGAAGACTGCAGCGGGTCCAAGAAGATACTCCAAGAACGACTGAAGACTGTTCTCAACAAGAATGGAGACGACCCAGAGACCTTCCAGTTCCAGTCAGCAGAAGAAGCCGTTTTAACTAAAATAATTGATGGAAAATTTGAGAATGTTTCACAAATGATCGAAGAGAGTTCTAAAAAAAATGATAGTAAATTTGAAAATGTGTCGCAAATGATTATTGAAGAAACTTCTAAAATGATAGAAGAAACTTCTAAAAAAAATGATAAAAAAATTGAAAACGTCGCTCAAATGATTGAAGAATCTTCTCGAAAGAATGATGAAAGATTCGATGAAACGTCTCAAATTATTAAAGAAATAGCTAGACAAAATGACGAGAAATTTGAAAATGTATCTAGAAGATTCGACGAGACTTCTCAAATAATTAAAGACGTATGTAATCAAAATAATGAGAAATTTGAAGAAGTTTCTAAAACATTCGATAAGGTAGAAGAGAAGATCAAACAGTTAGAGGGCATGATAACTAACACGAAAGTGCTACCACCAATTAATACGGTAGCTTTAGATCCGGTAGTGAAAGAAGAATCACCTAGAGATGAAATGACACATCATATGAGATTCAAATTACCACCATTTGATGGAAAGTCCTCTTGGTCCATATACCTTAGACAATTTGAAGCTATTGCTACAGCCAATCATTGGACAGAAGAAAAGGATGTTTCCTTGACTGCTGCTTTACGAGGTGATGCTGCAGATATCCTAAGATCGATTCCTAAGGGTCAAGAAAAATGTTACCAGCGCTTGTTTACTCGACTAGACAAACGTTACCGAGATGCCCATCTACAACAAGTCTACAAAGTACAAATAAAAAGTAGAATCCAACGAGCAAGTGAGAGTTTGCAAGAATTTGAAGCAGATATTGCTCGTATAGCGCTGTTGGCCTATCCAGAGGCACCAGACAACATTTTGGAAGAAATTGCTGTAGATGCCTTCGTCAATGGGTTAAGAGACAGTGAACTACAGAAAGCTTTACGACTAGCAAGACCGAAAGTTTTAGATGAAGCGCTCGCCATTGCCTTGGAACACGAGATAGCTAGTCGAGTTTCACGGAGCTATCAAGTACGAACCTCTGAAAAGAGTGACGAACGAAACGATAAACGCCTGGAGGAAATCGTACTAAAAGTAGTTCGTAACATGATGCCGAAGAGACGTGAACCCAGATGTTGGAATGGTAACAACGAAGGTCACATTCGCCACAAAGTGCAAGAAAATAATACAACAGTCAGAAAGCTAAAACAGATCGAGCACTGGGCTGGAAAAAGTCATTCAAATGCTGATGTTCAATCAAGACGGCCATACAGTGCAAATCGTAATCATTGTCTTGAATTAGAAGAAAGACTTTGCCCTGTGAGACGAACCACCGTAATTAATGATCAATGGCAGCCACAACAAATGGAATTGCCTAGTGCTGAAAGATGATCTTCTGTATAGAACCTTTGAGAACGATGATGGTACAGAAACTAAGCTTCAGTTGATTGTACCTAAAAGTAAAGTGTCAGAAGTATTGCGTCAGTTACATGACGGTGCATCAGGTGGACACTTTGGTATTACGAAGACTCTGCAAAAGGTTCGAGAACGGTTCTATTGGGTGAACTGTAAAGATGATGTAAGAAGATGGTGCCGGAAATGTGAACTGTGTGCAACCAGTAATGGTCCAGTTGGTAAAAAGAGGGCACCCATGAAACAGTATAATGTTGGTAGTCCTATGGAAAGAGTAGCAATCGACATTGCAGGTCCACTTCCAGAGACAAATGATGGAAATAAATATATCCTGGAAGCCATGGATTATTTTACGAAATGGACTGAGGCCTGTGCGATACCAAATCAAGAAGCTGCTACCGTTGCAGAGGTACTTGTTAAAGAATTCTTTAGACGATTTGGTGTTCCCTTTGGTGTCGGTATTTTTTGTAAATATGTATATAAATATTTACGAGGTATAAGATATTTTATGTATACAGACATTTTATAGAATTAATTTGTTTTTTTTTGTTTATTCTCTTATTTAGCTCAGTTAAATTATTAAGTAAAGATTTTTGAAAAGAAGCGCGTACGGTCCTGATTTCTCAGTCTATCGCCAAACTACCACACAATTACCACTGTGCTCACATGAGCGGCATCGCTGTCTGCCGTAAGCCCACATTCTAACTGTGGTTTCTACCATAGGCCTACTGTAAACGGATATACCGCAACTATACACTCTTTTTGTTGAACCCTATATATAAATTGCGAAAATATATGTAAAACATTGTAATGTTTAATAACTTGATACTAATACTTACTTGAATTTTTTATTTAGTTCTTTTTCTAGCTGGTCGATTTCATTGCTTTTCATCGTAAGAATGTTATCCACAGCTGTATAGTTCTCGTGTTTTAACTTCGTTATCTCTTTTTCAAATTCTTTGATCTCTTTTGTCAAACGGACGCACATTTCATCTTTCCTCTTCGAATCCTGCTGCAAGAGATCCAATTCCTTCTCTTTCTCTTCCAATTTCAGCTTTTTCTCGGCTATTTCAATTCCCAAGTCTCGTTCCTTGTTCTGCCAGTCCGTTTGGGCCGCCTCAAAGCTTTTCGAAATGGCGGTTAAAGCGTTGTTGGTATCCTCGACTGATTTTTGTTGGTTTTCAGTTTTGATCTGTAGGTTATCTAGCTCCTGTAACCTTTCGTTGCATTCTTTTATTATCTTATCTTTGGCATCTAGTAGATTCTTCACCTCTGTGAGTTCGTTCTTTAAACATTCGATGTCCATGTCTTCAAAATGGACTTTTTTATGAGATATTTCTGTCGAGTTTCTCGTTTGTACTACAGAATTTGCGCTAGTAGGACCCATAATCGACGAGAGCTCTGGCTCCATCAGAGTATCATCTGACTTTTGATGTTTAAATAAAAGAGGACTCTGACATTCGCTTACGTTCCTACTTTCCATTCTCCGCAGCAGATCCGGTTGACTTAGGTCCAATATACTAAAGAGCTCCTCCAGGCTAGTGCCGTTACTTTTGAGATTCGACAATGTTTGTAGATCTTTCTTGTCTATGTTTAGGGAGGTGTAACCTTCTAAAAGCTTCTCGGTGTCCTCCAGTTTTAGTCTTAATCTCTCCATGTCGTGGTTTTTATCTGAAATAATATTTTCCACCAAATTCGGAACCATCTGGGCTTCGTTTTTAATTTTCTTTTTCATCTGAGAATTTTCAGAGACAAGTTTTTCGATTTGCTTTTGCATATCAACTACCAAATCATCGTCTTTCGCAGAACTCAATTCGTTTTCTAAATTTTTCACCCTCTGTTGAGTTTCTGCTAACAAAAGTGATTGGTTATTAATCTGTCTGTCCTTTTGCTGAATCTTGTCACGTAAAGAAGCCACTTCATTTTGTAAATCGTAAATTTTCAACTCAAACGAAGTGTTAGTCTGCTTCTCTATGTTGTCTGCCCGTATTCTCTGCTCGTCTAGTCTTATTTGGAAGTCCGAAATTAGAACTAACTGTTCTTGAATATTTTTTTTCATGAATTCTCGTTCTCCGTTGGTTTCCTAAAAATAAAAATTAATTATCTACCATATTCAATGGAAAAATGGTCAACTAAAAAAGCCACTACTAAATAGTTTTAGAAACACAAAATAGTATTTAACTTACCTCTAGTTCGTGTTTTAGTCCAAAGACTTCCATTTCTAAATCCCGTATTCGCTTCATAGCTGCATCTTCTGCTCTAGAATGCCTTATTAGTTTCTCTCTAAGTCTGGCAAGTTGTTGTAAAGGCACTTCGCAATCTTCCATCTTTTTCGGGCTTTTAGGCAAAACCTATAACAACGTAAACCTTTGTAAAACGACATGAAAGTACTGCCATTTACCATCTTTTGTAGTATGACTATTGGATTGAATGGGCTAATGAATGGAATATTCGACTTGAATTTAGTAGAATCTCCATATAACTGGATTCGTGGATATCGAATGGCTCCAAAGAAGAACCACTTAACTACATACAGATTGAACCAAATTAAAACGGAACATACAATTTAATACATGTCTGTTTGAACTGCATTTAAAATAGTGGACCAATATAAAACTTGGACAAAAATAAATCCATACCTGGGTATAGACATTGTATAAAATATCGTTCAACTATCTGTCTCGCAACAAAGTTGTTTGCGTAAGACGGGTTTGTCTAAGGAGGCGAAAATAGTTCAGGAATTGTAGCTCGAAAAAAGTTAAAACCTCGCAATTTTTTCGTCCTGCATGTATCCATTTGAAATTTTAGCAGAAGGTAGGTAATAGCCCAAGGATCAAAATCTATATCGAACCAAAGTGCGCTGAAGGGTTTTAGGGGTGAAAACTACCCCTAATTGTCAAAAATTATAAAATAACATATTAAACCTGAATATGGGTAAGATTTGGTTTGAATTAATTAAATAATGATTATTTTATACTTTTGAATAGAGTTCCATCATATTTCAACCCTTAAAAAGCAACCCTTGTTAGAGATTAATGTAAAAAATTACTAATTCTAAAAAAATGATTTCGCCTTGTATCATTTGGATAAAAATTTGGATTTAAGCTCAATTCACCCGCTGCTTTATAGTTTATGTCATGTCGACGAACCCTGATTGTTCTTAGGGGTAAAAACTACCCCTAATTGTCAAAAATTATAAAATACCATATTAAACCTGAATATAGGTAAAATTTGGTTTGAATTAATTAAATAATGATAGTTTCGTGCTTTTCAATAAAGTTCCATCATATTTCAACCCTTAAAAAGCGACCCTCATTAGAGATTAATATAAAAAAATTAGTAATGCGAAGAAAATGATTTCACCTTGAAACGACTTGCATAAAAATTTGGAATTAAGCTCAACTCACCCTCTGCTTTATAGTTTATGTCATGCCGATGAACCCTGATTGTTCTTAGGGTTGAAAACTACCCCTAATTTTCAAAAATTGTAAAATAATATTACAAATCCTAAGATGAGTGAAATTTGGTTTGGATTAGTTAAATAGTGAGTTTTTTATACTTTAAAATACAAATTCATACATTTTCAACCCTTAAAAATCAATTGTTATGAGTGCTATAGGTGAAAACAATTTTTTGCCAAAATTTTGCAACTTTTCAACTTTTGAAAATCACCCTTTACAACATTGAAGTTTTTATAAACTAATTTATAAGATATAAATTGAAAAAAGTAGAATTAAATACAAAAAAAATTATCAACATAAAAAGGCACCATATATTCTTATACATTTACATAAATAGTTGAAAATATTTACATTTATAGGTAAAACAATTATAATATTAATTTTATTCGTCATCAATTACATCTTCATCGTGATCTATGTCATCATCATCTTCCTCAATTATTGGTGGACTGTTATTGCACCCTTCACCTGACCACCCAGAACAAGTAGAGTTACAGTATAAACCAACTTTTCTGCACCCATATGAAACGCCGCATCCTTTTTTGCATTGGCAAAAAATAATTTTCAAAAATTTATCGGGTGCAGGTTGTTTGTTCATGCGTACGGGTAATAACAAACCATCTTTGGAATACCATCCCCAATCTGTTGCTCTGATATTTTCATTGCCAAGCCATAGACATATGAGCAGATGTTTTATTCTGTTGTATGGGATTTCAAAATAAGAACGCTTAAAATTTCGAATGTATAACGCCCCACTAGCTAATATACCGGTTTTGTAGATTATTATGCTCCGAAATGTACTGTACTATACTAATGGAATTTTCCGGAAAAAAATTAACTGGTCTTTTTAACGTATTTCCTTTAATTTTTAACGATAGAGTGTTTCTTCAAAAACAATTTGTAGAGGTTTTTAATAGCTACAAGGATCTGTAAATTAAATCTTTTTGGAACCCTTGGTTTTTAAATGGGGTGAGTTTAAAGGGCTTGAAAAAGATAGTGCTTGATCGTAAATCGATGCTTTAAACGGCTATATCTCGCCAAATATTCATTGTACAACAAATCTAAATAAAGGATAATTTTAGTCATTAAAAAAGCTACAATTTGGTAATTTTTATTTTTTTCATATATTCAGTATTTTCTGGCATATTTAAAAAAAGAAGGGTAAAAAATATGAAATTGTAAATCGTTTCTCGCTTTAAGCTGTACTTTTTCTAAAACTAAGCATTTTAAATGGGTCAAACTTCTTGGAAGTATTAACAATACATCTACAAAGGGAATTGCAGAAGGGTGAAGATCGATTTTAATTATGGGGGTGGTTAGGGTGTTGTTTTCCTCGATTTTTTCGTAAAAAATGAGGTATTGACCTTATTTTTTTATGATAGGTCTATTTATGCTCTTTAAAAAAGGTTTTGTGAGTTTTCTTCCAAAAATGCATCATTTTCCCGATATTTGACTTTGAATCTTTCAAATTTGGCATTTGAAGAAAACCGCTGAACATTGATATTGTATTTGTAATTGTATTTGTCTTTTTAAAAGCTACAAATTTGTTCTCTACAATTTTTTTGATAAAATGCACCATTTTCGAGTTATTCGCGAAAAATCGATTAAAAACGTGGATTTTTTCGTCTAAAAGTTGTTACTTTCAATCGCGAATAACATGAAAAATATCATTTTATAAAAAAAATGTATAGCACATTTTTTGTTTAGAATCACTTTTCTAATCGAAACCTGTAGTTAAAGCGTAAAAAAAATTTCACCCCGGAGATGGGGTGGCAACCACCCCCTAGGCTTTGGCGCACTTTGGTTCGATATAGATTTTGATCCTTAGGCTATTACCTACCTTCTGTTAAATTTCAAGTCAATCCGCGCCGCACGAAAAAATTGCGAGGTGAAATGCTACATTTCCTGGACTATAACTGGTTTGACAGCATAATCGTAGATTTATGTGTAGCTTTCAATTTTTATGAGTTCAGAATCCAGCAGCCCACTGAAGTATGGGATTTTTTATAATATAATTATTTGACAATCTTTTGTTGGCCAACCAGCTACAGCAGAATTGAGCCAAAATACATTATATTCCTATGTTCCGAATTTATTTCGTTCAATCTGTATACAAGAATTGTATCTCTCTTGACTTTTTCTTTTGATTCTTCGTCGATAGAAAAATTAGACAGTTTCTTCTAAATATTCTGTTACAGCTAGGTAGTGACAGTGACGTAAGTAATGAATAACAGTAGTTTGTTAGAGTAGTTTTAATTACTATTTCATTATTCATATATAATTAGTCCTCAGATATCTTGTAGCGATTACCAGATAATTTCTCTAAGCAATTGTCTAATTTTAAAACTAAAGTTTTTCATAACTTACCACGTCTCTGGCAGATACGTCTTCCGAAGGTGAACTGCAGTTGGTACTAGCGGTAGAATGAAGAATTTCTAACTCTTTTGTTTTTCTATCAACTTGAGCTTCTATTTCGTACAGCTGAAAAAAGTAAATTAGGTATTTGCGTCAATAAAATAGTCAACAACTATTGTGAATATGGTGAATCTACATAACAACTCGATATAACAGACTTTGTGAAGAAAACGTATTTTGCATAATTTGGACTAAAATTTAGTGATCAAAACAAAGTTTGGGCTCTTCATAAAGGTTACAAAATGAAAAAGGGACCATAGTATCGAGCTACTTCTTCTTGTTTTATGTTAAAGGATTCAACTTAAAACCAAAGCATTCCATTTCATATCAAAAACTCCGCGTAACTATTTGTCCTACTGCTCAGTATGCAGAAACACCTGCACCAAAGAAACCTGTTACGTCAGAAGATATAAACAGACTCAGGTGAAGTACAACCTCAGGATGACATGGACTCAATATCTGACTCTAAAGACACTAGACCAAAATTGTTCTCCGAGGAAAAGATAAATGATTTGGTGAGGGATATATTCAAAAACATGCTGCTGAATTGCTTGAGCCCCGATTCAAGAATCAAAACTGATTAGTATATGAAGTTTTTCTTTCTTATCTAATGGCCAAACCCAGTTTTTCATTACTTCGAAATCGAAACGTCAAATTGTTAGTTAAAAATGTAATTTTCATTACAATCTTCTTCTTCTTTAAGTTCCATCTTCTATCGAAGGTTGGAAATCATCATGGCTATGCGGACTCTGTTGACTGCCGCTCTAAAAAGTTCTGCACTACTGCATTCAAACCATTCCCTTAAGTTCTTAAGCCAGGATATTCTTCGTCTTCCCACATTTCGCTTTCCTCGGATTTTGCCCTGCATAATAAGTTGTAATAATGCGTATTTTTGCCCTCTCATCACATGTCCCAAGTACTCAAGTTTTCGTCTTTTAATAGTTAATATTATTTCCGCCTCATTTCCTATCCTTCTAGTTACTTCCATGTTTGACATTCTTTGAATCCATGATATTCGTAGGATTCTTCTGTAACACCAAAATTCAAAGGCGGTCAACTTATTCAGATGAACTTGTTTTATTCATTACATTACATCATTACAATCAGTTGTAGCTTAATCCCACATAAATTCACTTTTTAACTTAGACATGCCACACGATATCAGTTTAAGAACTTTACTGATTAAAACGTTTCCAGGTCTCTTCAACACGAAATTAAAAAAAGGCATATTTGTTGGGCCCGATTTTAGAATACTTCTAGCAGATCAAGTATTTGCCAACACCGTGACAGATCTCCAGAAAGAAGGATGATTCCTTTTTAAGGATGTTATGAAGATATTTTTGAAAACTTTATTTTTAAGAAACTTATCTCATGAGCCTATGAGTACAATGTCTCCACTGTCAGCTGGACTATTGTCCTTTCCAGATTTTGGGTGATGTGAGTGAAGAACACGGAGAACGTTTCCATGAAGACATCAAGCAAATGAACAGAAGATATCAAGGAAAATGGAACACAACAATGATAGACTACTGCTGGATGTAGATACAGATTGAACGAATTTAAAACGGATCATACAATTTAATATATGTCTGTTTGAACTGCATTTGAAATAGTGGACCAATGTAAAACTTGGACAAAAATAAATCCATACCTGGGTATAGACATTGTATAAAATGGCGTTCAACTATCAGTCTCGCAACAATGTTGTTTGCGTAAAGGAAGCAATAATAGTTCAGGAAATGAAGCTCGAAAAAAGTTAAAACTTAGCAATTTTTTCGTCCTGTCGCAATAGATTGAGTTGAAATTTTAACATAAGGTAGGTGATAGCACAAGGATCAAAATCTTAATCGAACCGAAGTGCGCTGAAGGGTTTTAGGGGTGAAAACTACCAATAATTTTCAAAAATTATAAAATAACATATTAAACCGGAATATGGGTAAGATTTGGTTTGAATTAGTTAAATAATGATTATTTTATACTTTTGAATAGAGTTCCATCATATTTCAACCGTTAAAAAGCAACCCTTGTTGAGATTAATGTAAAAAATTACTAATTCTAAAAAAATGATTTCGCCACGGATCGATTTGGATAAAAATTTGGATTTAAGCTCAATTCACCCACTGCTTTATAGTTTGTCATGTCGACGAACCCTGATTGTTCTTAGGGGTGAAAACTACCCCTAATTGTTAAAAATTATAAAATAACATATTAAACCTGAATATGGATTTGAATTAATTAATGATAGTTTCGTGCTTTTGAATAAAGTTCCATCATATTTCAACCCTTAAAAAGCGACCCTTGTTAGAGATTAATGTAAAAAATGTAGTAATGCGAAGAAAATGATTTCGCCTTGGAACGATTTCCATAAAAATTTGGAATTAAGCTCAACTCACCCTCTGCTTTATAGTTTATGTCACCCTGATTGTTCTTAGGGGTGAAAACTACCCCTAATTTTCAAAAATTGTAAAATAACATTACAAATCTTAAGATGAGTGAAATTTGGTTTGGTTTAGTTAAATAGTGATTTTTTATACTTTAAAATACAATTTCATACATTTTCAACCCTTAAAAATCAATTGTTATGAGTGCTATAGGTAAAAACAATTTTTTGCCAAAATTTTGCAACTTTTCAACTTTTGAAAATCACCCTTTACAAAATTGCAGTTTTTATAAACTAATTTAATAGATATATAATGAAAAAAGTAGAATTAAATACAAAAAAATTTATCAACATAAAAAGGCATATATTCTTATACATTTACATAAATAGTCGAAAATATTTACATTTATAGGTAAAACAATTATAATATTAATGTTATTCATCATCAATTACATCTTCATCGTGATCTATGTCATCCTCATCTTCTTCAATTATTGGTGGCCTATTATTGCACCCTTCACCTGAGCACCCAGAACAAGTAGAGTTACAGTATAAACCAACTTTTCTGCACCCACATGAAACGCCGCATACTTTTTTGCATTGGCAAAAAATAATTTTCAAAAGTTCATCGGGTGCAGGTTATTTGTTTATGCGTACGGGTAATAACAAACCATCTTTGGAATACCATCCCCAATCTGTTGCTCTGATATTTTCATTGCCAAGCCATAGACATATGAGCAGATGTTTTATTCTGTTGTATAGGATTTCAAAATAAGAACGCTTAAAATTTCGAATGTATAACGCCCCACTACCTAACATACCGGTTTTGTAGATTATTATGCTCCGAAATGTACTGTACTATACTAATGGAATTTTCCAGAAAAAAATTAATTGGTTTTTTTAACGCATTTCCTTCATTTTTAACGATAAAGTGTTTCTTCAAAAACGATTTTGTAGAGGTTTTTAAGAGCTACAAAGATCTGTGAATTAAATCTTTTTGGAACCCTTGGTTTTTAAATAAGGTGAGTTTAAAGGGCTCGAAAAAGATGGTGCTTGATCGTAAATCGATGCTTTAAACGGCTATATCTCGCCAAATATTCATTGTACAACAAATCTAAATAAAGGAAAATTTTAGTCATTAAAAAAGATACAATTTAGTACATTTTTATTTTTTTCATATATTCAGTATTTTCGGGGATATTTAAAAAAGAAGGGTAAAAAATATGAAATTGTAAATCGTTTCTCGCTTTATGCTGTACTTTTTCTAAAACTAAGCATTTTAAATGGGTCAAACTTCTTGGACGTATTAACAATACATGTACAAAGAGAATTGCATAGGGGTGAAGATCGATTTTAATTATGGGGGTGGTTAGGGGGTTGTTTTCATCGATTTTTTCGTAAAAAAATGAGGTATTGACCTTATTTTCATCATAACTCACTCAATTTTTGAGCTAGAGACTTTTTTTATGATAGGTCTATTTATGCTCTTTAAAAAAGGTTCTGTGAGTTTTCTTCCAAAAATGTATCATTTTCCCGATATTTGACTTTGAATCTTTTAAATTTGGCATTTGAAGAAAACCGCTGAACATTGATAAGCCGTATTTCGGTTCCTGTTATATCGCAAAACATTTTAAAAAATGAATTGTATTTGTCTTTTTAAAAGCTACAAATTTGTTCTCTGCAATTTTTTTGATAAAATGCACCATTTTCGAGTTATTCGCGAAAAATCGATTAAAAACGTCGATTTTTTCGTCTAAAAGTTGTTACTTTCAATCGCGAATAACTTGAAAAATATCAGTTTTACAAAAAAATTTATAGAACATTTTTTGTTTAGAATCACATTTAATCGAAACCTGTAGTTAAAAAGTAAAAAAAAAATTTACACCCTCCGAGATGGGGTGGCAACCACCCCTAAGGCTTTTTCGCACTTTGGTTCGATATAGATTTTGATCCTTGGCTATTACCTACCTTCTGTTAAAATTTCAAGTCAATCCACGCAGGACGAAAAAATTGCGAGGTGAAATGCTTCATTTCCTGGACTATAAGTGGTTTGACAGCATAATAAAATCGTAGATTTATGTGTAGCTTTCAATTTTTATGATTTCAGAATCCAGCAGCCCGCTGAAGTATTGAATTTTTATAATATAATTATTTGACAACCTTTTGTTGGTCAACCACCTACAGCAGAATTGAGCCGAAATACATAATATTTCGTATGTTCCGAATTTATTTCGTTCAATCTGTATGTACATTTTATTAAAGCTACCTATTAATTAAAAATATTTACCTGTGTACTGATCTGTTTGGTCGCCCCCTCGTTACCAGCGAGTTCGGAATTCAACCTCAGTTTATGAAGTTCAGTTTCCAAATGTTCGATGTGTCTGTACAATTCTCCAATGTCGGATACATCCTTAGACGTATCACAATCTTTGCCATCACCTACTCCGTGTTCATTAGCTGTAACAAATGCATTTAGTGTTCGTCTAAAAAACTAGTAACTTGAAAAGTCTCAATGTATTTTTTCATATAGTTTTCTAGTCTAGGTTTCAGTTTTCCATTGTATAGAATGCATGCATGCACTCTCACTAAAACAATACGTAAAAGAATTAAGCTTTCGAGATGTGGGCTTAACGAATACTGTTAAGGATATGTGGATGGAAAGAGTGGCAAATCAAAAAGTATTAGAACAGCTATACAGACAGAGAGATTCTGAATACTAAAAAAATCAGAAAATTGCAGTAATTTGATCATTTGATGAAAAATTCAAAATATGAATATGTAATTTCTGCTCCTCCTATGTATCATATCTATTGAGATTGGAGACCAATAAGGCAGTCTGTCTATTGTTGGCTTGATGTATTAGGACACTTCCTTCAGTTCTGGCTCAGTCTCTTATATTCCTGACACGTAATTACGCAGAGGAAAATAACAGGAAAACGACGAAGAACAAACTGAACACAATACTCTTTTAGGTCAGTTGAGGATAAAGTAAAGATAATGGGATTGGTCATCAAGGTTCTCGGAGGAAAATGCATTTAAAGAAATCAAAGAACTCTCTCTCTCTCTCTTCAATCATGACCCCCCCCCCCCCCAGGGGGAGTGTAGTGGTCGACGAGATGTTGTGTATTGTCCGTCTCCAGAGATCTCTGTCTCTGGTCATTTCTTTTAATTCATGCATAGGTCTTTGGCATATTCCTGTAATTTGATCTATCCATCTTGTTGGGGATCTTCCTCGTGATCTTCGGCCTTCTACCTTTCCTTGTATTATGAGTCTTTCCATGTTTTCTGTGTTTGCTCTCATAACATGCCCAAAATATTTTAATTGTTGGAGATGGACTTTACTAGAGAGTCGTTGGCTAACTTTTAGCTCTCTTAAAATTGAATTATTTGTTCTACGGTCGGTCCAAGGAATTCGTAACATTCGTCTCCAACAGAACATTTCAGTGGCGTCTATCTTTCTTCTCTCTGATTGTCTCAGAGTCCAAGATTCACATCCGTAGGTCAGTATTGGGAATATTAAGCAGTTGATCAACCTCATCTTTATCGCTCTTGAAATTTGACAGTCCTTCCATATTTTGGTCATTTTTGCTGTGGCAACTTTTGCTAGATCACATCTACGTTTAATCTCTTCTTGTAATGACCCTGTGTTTGTGATTAATGATCCCAGATATAAGTATGAGCTCACAACCTCGAACCGGTCAATTGTGGTTATATGTGGATGATTGTTGTGTAGTCTATCCACTATCATGATCTTTGTCTTTGATATGGTTAATTGCAGACCAAATATTTGACTTTCGTTTTCGATTAGTCGTATAAGTTCTATCAGCTCTGCTTGACTATTTGCAAGAAGGGCTGTGTCATCTGCGAAACGTAGGTTGTTTAGTTTATGACCATTTATTGAGATGCCCTTTTCCCATCCTTCAAGTGCTCTTCGCATAATATACTCCCCATATATGTTGAATAATTGTGGAGATAGTATACATCCTTGTCTGACACCCCGTTCTGGATGAAATTCGTTCGAAAGTGTGTCAAGTACTTTAACTGGTCCAGTAGTGTGTTCATATAGTTCGGTTATAAGCGTAATTAGATGTTGTGGTACGCCTACTTCTTTTAGTATTCGCCATAAGTGTCTCCACTTGACACTGTCGAACGCTTTACGGTAATCTATAAAACAGATGTATAGTGGGATGTTGAATTCCCTAGATTTCTCGATTATCTGTCTTATATTCAGCAGGTGTTCTCGAGTGCCTCTACCTTTGGTAAATCCAGTTTGCTCTTGTGTATTTTCTCTTTGAAGGAATGTTTTCAGTCTCTCATTGATTATATGTAGCATTATCTTGCTGGCATGGGATATAAGAGAGATAGTTCTATAATTGTCGCGTTTATGGAAGCTGCTTTTTTTATGTATGGTCGTTATTGTAGATTTTGTCCAGTCTTCAGGCCATTGTTTGGAATGCCATATTTGGTTACAGAGTAGATGAAGTAACTTTACGCCGGTTTCTTCTGTGGCTTTAAACATTTTTGCTGTTATCATATCTGGACCTGGAGCTTTGTTATATTTGAGCTTGTTGATAGCCTGTCTTACTTCATTTTCGAGTATATCAGGTTCTTCTTCCGCTTCGTCAGAAATCAAAGAACAAGTCATAATAAAAAAAGAAAAACGTTATATACTAGACTTACCAATAAGAAAAAAAGAAGAACGTTATATACTAGACCTACCAATGAGGTTTTGAAGTTTGTTGATGGTATCTAAATACTCCTGGATCTTCACTGATTTCGTTTCTGATTGGATTTCCAAATTGCGAATAATCTCCCGTAATTCCTTTATTTTCTCTACCGCTTCCGTCAGCTCGTCTTCGAGGTCTTTAAGCTTATGGCAAGACGCTTCAAAAGCTGTCGTTTTCTCCTGTAGCTGCAACTCTAGTAGCTCGATCTATAAAATTTTCGACAGTTAGTCGAAGAGAACTTCAGTTACACAACGAAATAAGGTAAAAACAATGAATTGATCAGTGTTACTCAGTCCAGATTTAGTACTAAGTGATTAATTTTTATTGCATGAAGAATAACGCTTTTACAGTAAGTTACATGATTAAAAAGGTGTATAAAATTTCTCCGTTAAGTTTGTTGATTTCTATGAAGAATACTTTATGAAACAGACGAAAGACTACCTTAAAGAATCAGAGTCCTGAAGGTAACTTCGGCATAACCTACCATACAAAATCTAAAAGTGGATCTAAGGCTTTGAAGTGTAGTCCAGGCTATAAAGGTTTCTGTTCGGAACTCTTTTTATATGTAAGAATTTGCTTGAAATTTTGACAGTACGTAGAAACTAGGTCAAAGATAAAAATGTGCCCTATACTAATATGTACTTTGTCTTCGTGGTGGTTACCACCCCAACTCGGAGATGGAAAATCGCTAGAATAGTAAATTTTAAGACAAAAATGTTCTATAGAGTCCTACCTTTCAGGGCAACCCTCTTTAAAGGAAGGGATTGAAAAAAATTTAATATACTCCACCTTACAGCTTTCAATCTAAACTACAAAACGGTTTTTTGGTGGACACGTTAACCTAAAAACAAGAATTTGGGTGGAAGAGAGATGGTCGCGCCAGGAGAAAGCAGTAGGTCCGATTAGGTCAAACTGTCATTCCTTGTTCCCACTGTAGATGCCCTAAATGAACACATTAAAAAAACTTATCAAATATAAGTGTGGCTTGAGAACAAAACATTCGTTCAACTGATTGGGGGTAGCGATCAATTAAGACTGCAGAAAAGCTTGCGCCAGAACTACTTATAAAAATGATTTTGGTGGTTGTGGTGCATCATGTAGCTGCCTAAAAGTTGCCAAAAAGGCTTTGTTGCAATTCTATTTGTAGAGAATATTCGGGAGAAGATTGTTACAATAGTGCTCTCTTTGTAGATCAAGGTGACGTCTGGACTCCATATCCTGGACTAGTGGAAACTCGCGAGTAAATCGACCCTACCAATGGACGTGTAATACGGTGAACGATGAAGTCCTAGATTGATTCCTACGGGAAGACGTAGAAAACCCGATCATACAGACACTAACAATAATGATAGTACCTAGGGTAACCAGAAAACTAAAATCAAAACTATCTAAAACCTATTTCACATATTTCCAACTAAAAGGGAAATTATTTTAAAATTTTAAATAAGAGTCAAGTTCTTTCGAATACTAATTTTAAGTTTCCTCGTAGACATTACTGACGGAAAGTCGCTAATATTAAGGAGTGCATGTTTTGTCGAGCTGTATACTTGAACCACCCTCTACATTCCTTAAATGTGAGTTGCTTTTGTTATTAGTACATATGAATATGCAAATCAATAATAAATCATTCGCAAAAACAAAAAACCATGCATGTTATTTGATTATTGCAATCTATTGTTACAAGTTATATGAAAAATATCTGTATTACTGTTATTATTGTAGGATGCACAACTGTACGGATAAACAGAAACGTTGGAAAGGTAAAAATAACCGGCAGATATAAATAAACGTTTCCCTCTCAAAATTGGGAACTCCGCGTACAAATCAACATAAAATTTCCGCTCTCTCTAATTTTAGATGACTCCCTTTCGACGGACGCAGACTATTTGCCGCGAATGGATTAACAAAAACATGGATTTTTCTTCCTAAATATTTGTTGTTAGTACGGATGTTAGCAAGCAGTAATTGCATAGTCTTTGAAATAAAGTAGTAAACGACTTTTTGGAAAAAACATAGAAATTTAGAAACTAAAATGCCAACAGAATAATCAATTAGTCTAACAATGAATGTGTTTTGTATATAAACAATTATTAATACCTTATTTTCCCTTTATAGTCCAGTCTTCAAAGAGTTTACCCCTAAAAATCATACGAACAAGCTGAATTGTACCAAAAATATGAATTTTTGGACTCCCAAAAAGATGCAAAATAGTTTACCATATTTACACCCAGGCTTCCCCTAAAATCCCATAATCCCTTCGTAGGGGGGGATGCAAAAAAACCGATTTACCAAGAATCTGTACCCCGTAGAAAAAAATGTTTTAAATGAAAAATGTGGCGGATATAATATTAAACAAAAATGTTCATTATCACTTTTTGTGTCGAATGAACCGTTCTCTTAGAAACAACGCTTGAAGCAATGGTCGATTTTAAACGTAAGTTAGGCGTGTGAAATCAATGTTCAATAAAATTTATATCAGCTTGACGGTAAAAATTCGATATCTTCTGAACAAAGTGTGCTATCGACAAAAATCAAGATGCGTTTTAAAGTTAGAGTGCAGATTTCGTATGAAGTTGTATTTTGTGAAGAATAAATATGATCAATAAAATTGATCACTTTCATTGACCAGTCTTAGCAAAATTTCCATTTCTAGAGATCAATTTCTAAAACTAAGACTAAGATGGGCAGGCCACGTGCACAGACTGCATAACGAGAGACTTGTAAAACTGGTATGGGAGGAGGTTCCCAGAGGCAAAAGACCACTCGGACGTCCCTGAATCCGATGGAGAGATAACATCCAATCAGATCTCCGGAAAATGAACATTCCATTTGACCCTAGGTTGATGAAAGACCGAACAAATTGGAAAAAAATGTACAGTCAGCCAAGACCCACCCAGGGTTGTAGCGCTACGTGATGATGAATCTCTAAAACCTATGACACAAAATTTCAATTTTGAGTTGTGGCAACAAATATGAGGCATTTGAAATATGAATAAAAAACACAGAATTTAATATTTTACATTACAAACGATCGCACATCACGGGAAATGCATCCAAGAAGACTATTTTGGATGTAGCGTACAGCAGTTTGGGAAAGTTTGATTTTTTTGAAACACGTACCAGTGTAATTGAAAAAAAAAGTTTTAAAAGTTTTAGATCGATTGTTATGTAAACGTTGGCGTTTGTTATGTAAAAGGCATATATTGTATTGATCTCACAAGAATCATAAAAAATGGCAAAAACCGTACCACGTTTATTTAACACCTTTATAAAAGCTGAGTTTATTTGCAGCAAAATACAAAAATGAAAGGTCTCGGGAGAAAACCATGAATGTCACAAATGAATTGAAATTGAGTTAGTTAAGTACGCCATCTAGTAAGTTTTATTAATATCTATGCTTGGACATTTCAAATAAGGAAGAAAACAGTGCGTGTCACGAGTTATTACAGTTTTTAAATACCCTATATCGGTAGAAAACCGTGCATGTCCGCGCGTAAACGGCTGAAACACTGAATGTCCACTCAGCAGGGCTAGAAAATTAAATTGGCATCATTGTCTTGCAAACGGTCGTGTCAGTGTAGTAAATACATCGTTATAACCACGTGCTTGTGCAGTTCTGTTTGATTAGTTAATTTATTTAAAACAATTATGGCAGAGAGTGGAAACTTATCCACTAAAAAGAGAGTGAAAATGGGCAGGTTATACGTCATGAAAAAAATGAAGCTTCAGTCACATGAGTTTGGTGAATTCTGCAAATGCAAACGCTTGAAGCGCTGTCACACAGTAAATGAAATGCATAGACAAAGAATTTTAAATCATTTTAATTCATTGATATCTCATAATGATCTCATAAATATCTCAAAATGCGTAGGGGAAGGACGTCGAAGATGACGCACCTAAGCAAAATACATTTTATTTAAGGGTAAAAAATATTTAAGCTAACTTTAAATGCTACGAGCCTGTAATTTGGACATTTCTATAACCAATTTCTAGGATTATTTTTAAATTCAATAAAAGGAAGTATTTTTTATGCGGCTTTTTTAAAAAACGCTTTTGCGCCATCTTACCTTCTATCGAGGGAAAGATGACGCACAGTGATGGTGAAGATGGCGCATGTAGGTATCTATATTAAAAGCGCAAGTGATATGAAAAGAAAATTTATTTTTCAATACTAAAAGTAAGAAAATGTAAACAAAGCTTTTTTAACATATTAACAAAAGTCACAAATGTAGTTTTCGGGACTTTTGGCTCGAAATGAATGCTGAATCGATTTTGAATGCTGACTGCATTCTTTATGCACCCATTGTCCACAACTTGTGCATCTGAACCATGTTTCCGTCTTTTTGCCGAAGTCTCCACATAATACGCAGATATCAGTTTCACCTCCCTCGTTGATTATGTCATCCAACTCATCGTCATTGCAAAGACCTTCTTCATCAAAATGGCTTTCTTCAGTATCGCTATCCTCCAAGATTTTTTTGTTTATTTTTTGTTTGATTATTTTTTGTACTTTGGCTTTCCCTTTATTTTTATTTAGTTTTAATCCTGCATCATTAACCAATACTTGTCTGGTTACTTTTTTCTTTCCTTCTTCCGACTTCGCCAGTTTTTTTTTATTCTCTTTTTCTTCTAAGAATTCTTTTAAAGGGATGCTTGTTAGAATTTCAGAATGTTGCTTTTGTCGTCCATATTTTCTTTTAATTTTTTTATTGGGCAAAGGAACTGGAGAAATAAGTGAAAGAGAAATATGTGGACGTTTGGTTATTTCATTTTGTTTTGTGGGGGTTGTGTGACGACTTTCAGGAGACTGTCGGCTGGTTGATGGACGTGGTAATTCTGGTTCTCTTATAGATGGTGTTGTTATTAGTAGAGGTGTTCCCTGAGGTGCAGGTTCAGGAGAAGCATCTCTATCCAAGCTATCATCGTTTAAATTATCAGCAGGAAAAAAGTCATCTTCTGTGAACTTATCAGAGTTTAACGGAAAAATTCCGCACGTTCCTAAACCAGAAACGGCCTTATCAATATTTGCCACCTGATCATATGCTAACTTAAAAATCTCGGCGACATCATATGGAGTAATTTTATCTTCAAACTCGAGTTGCTGATCTTAGATTTTAGAAAGGAATTGCAATGGCGACCATACGCATATTTTAATGCAGAAAAAAATGACACATCAAGAGGTTGTAATTTCTGGGATGTGTGGGGT